GTTTAGGGTTTTTGAGTTTAGGGTTGAAGGTTTAGGGTGTAGGTGTAAGGTTGTTTGGGTTAGCTTTCAGGGATTAGTGCATCTAGGGTTTAGGGTTGTTAGAGTTTAGGGCTTAAGGTTTAGGGTGTAGGTGTACTTAAGGCTTTTTTGGGTTTTAGCTTTTAGGGTTTGGTGTTTAGGGTTAGGTCCGTTTAGGTGAGGTCCTCAAGGATTTTTACACGCGGGAAGCGAGCTTTGGGAATACACTTACTCATCATTGGGGTTTCGGGTTAGCAAGCCTAGTTCTCAGGAGTTTCACCCAAACTCCAGAAGTCCTTGAGACGAAGACGATGAGGAGTCCACGTATAAAAAGCCTTGGCAGCCAATGGCAGGGCTCGTTGCAATGAGTTAGAGATGCGACGAGTACGTTCCAAGATGAAGGCGTGACTTTATCACCGGTCTAGGCGAGACCCCAAAACCCGAAATCCTGAATCTTGATTTGGCGTTGGACACACTGAACTCCCGGCGCCAACTCCCTAGTTGAAGGCTCAGGACACCTAGTAAGTAGGCTCAGCTTCAAGTAGGCTTACTCGCATATCTATGCGTACGGGTACCCTGACAGATGACAGCCTTACGAAGCTTTACCGCTAAGCCCTAAACCCTTACCCGAAAACCCTTAACCCCCAAACCCCAAACTCTAAACTCTAAACCCGCACAGGAGAGCGCCAGCACCGCGCAAGCCAGAACTCCATTTGGAAAGTGGCCTCGGATGGCGAGCCGAACTCCAACAAGCACAGATCTTTGGTCCAAGAACGGAAGGGTTAAGGGTTTTAGGATTGTTGGGGTTTAGGGTGTAATGTAGGAACCTGATTAAGAAATCCTGGCCCTATAACCCCAAATATACTAGGGTTCATAGTAAAATTAGGGTTTAGGGGTGTTGGGATTTAGGGGCGTGGGGATTTAGTGTTTTTAGTATTCGGGTAGGACTCTGCGGCGTTCAGGATGTAGGGCTGTCAGGGTGCTGAGGTGTGTTTAGGAAGTTTAGGGGTTTAGGAAGTTCAGTGGTTCAGGAAGTTTGGGGGTTTAGGAAGTCTAGGGGTTTAGGGGTTTAGGGTTTAGGGTTGAGGGTGTTGCTAATTGCAGTCAGCTTTCAGGATTTTGCTCGTTCGGATTGCTGTTGAGGGGTGTTTTGGTGGCTGCAGGTGATAGAACTGGGTGAAGCCCGCATTACCTATGATATAGAATTACAGACTACGTCATGTCATTATTCCTCCAGACTTTGTTGTTTGTTTGGCTGTTCCTCATGGCTCATGACTTATTAGCAGCATTGTGATAAAGACTATGGTGTTGATTATGACTAACAGCGAAATCATTATGACAATTATGATCTCTGTCGTTATTGTTATTGTTGTTGCTATTGTCATTGTCATTGTTGTCGTTATGGTTGTTCATGTTGTTATTGCTTCTATATATTTTTCTTCCTGGTACGATTATGCGAATTATTAGCAGTGTTCTGATTCCCATGACCATGACGATGACGCTGTTGTTGTTGTTGTTGTTGTTGTTGTTGTTGTTGTTGACGAAAGCCTCTCGGCTCAGGTAAGGTCAGGCTAGTACAGTCGCCTTTTTCCTTACTCGCCATGGCATTTGTCAGCGCCTGAGCAGTCCCGGTCCCAAGTCCGGGAGGGAGCTTAAGATTCACAGACTTCTTTCTGCTTCCAGAGGTGAGGGTTGTCGGTCTTGCGAAGCCGACAGAAGTCAGGTTCAATATGAGCCTAGCGAAACAGCCTAGTGTTTCGACCAAACA